GCTCTTCCTGGACCTAAAGAAGAATTAAAAAACCAAACTTACTCAAAAAGCAATGCCACACCACAGCTCCTCTCTATTCTGGTGAAACTGAAAACGTTTAATTTTCAGTGACTATATCTACATTAGCAAGTGGTACAGCACAAAAGAAGCAGGTCTGTAGAGCAGAGCAGTTGATACTGAACACCCAACACCCACACTATATGAACTGCAGGACTTTACTTTCAACCAGCCTTGTCCAGACTAAGGCATTCTAACCACTAGAGGGTGTTCAGGTGAACTACTGAACTGCATCATCTGGTTTAGTTTGATAGAAATCCAGTCCATGCTCTCTGAGATCATCCTGCAATGCACAATAAGAGCACAGTGAGTCCAGAGACTCACAGCAAAGACACACACCTCATCCAAACGAAAATGAACATACTCACCATCTCCTGATAAAGGGACATTCAATCTACCTGATGCACATCATCTGATTTCAGGTGCACTACAGCACCATCTAGAGCACACACATTAATTTAAATACTGAACATCTGTTTTAAAACACCATTGCAATAAGCAACAGGCAGTGGGTACTTACCCTCAGAAACTCTGCATGGAGAAGATTCTTGAGTACTTGATTAAATCTTTTCTTCTGAGCATTTTCTTCAAGGACTTTCTCTAAGAAGATTCGAATCTCACTAATCTGTGTATTTGCTGGGAGTAGGTTTATCGCCTGGAGCAAAATATACTTAGTTAGGAAAAGTTAAAAAGTAATAGAGAGCAAAATAGAATAGAAACTAACACATTTAGCTTGACACTGTTACAATTCGTTTGCTTGCCTACTTCAGCAGCTTCTGTCACCTTCTGCCAACAGTACGAATTGAGTACTTAGAAGTCTTTCTCACCTTGGTGGTATCCAGTTTGCTGTGATGTAGTTCCAAAACCTGCAGAGCAGCCTGCAGATTGGCTTGAGGCTCCAGCACTTCCATCTTGATTGGTCCCAGGCAGTGGACACTAGGTGGGGAGAGATACATCCGGAGCAGTGACAGATAGACCTGTTGCACACAAAAGGAGAGCTCTGAAACCACCGCAAGCATCCACAACTGACAGTGTTGGTAGAACCCAGTGACGTTACTAGTTAAGTTGTACCTATGCCATTCAAAATTCTGAAGGGCTCATTTAAACAGCTCTTACTGTAAAACAACAAAAACTGAAAAGTATTAATGCTGTCCAAGGCCTTAAGACTTGCATTCTACACAAAAACAACTTTTATCAATAAAAACTTTAATTACACCTCCCTCATTTATCTTACATAACTTGTTTATAACCTTTAGAAACCAACACTTCATTGCTTTTAATCATTAACTTTTCTGTAGGTGTATGTGCAATATACACAGAGTATTTTGTCTTCTGAATTCCACCAGAACTTTTGCTACAGAATATATGCTCAAGTCCAGTGACACAGTAACATTCTCAACAAAAACCAAATTAAAAAAATAAAAATTGAAAAAAAAAATCATCTAGTAATTCCTAAATTGTACAAGCTTATAGATAGGTTTCTGTCCATCTACGCAAACCCTGAAAAAGTCTATAGAAAGCAAAACCTTTGAAGTCCATAACATGGTATGAATAGTCTAATACATCTTTACTGAAAAGGAAGATTGCAAAGATAAAGCTACTTACATCTTTGTTGCCATCTTTGTTTCTGTCATAATGTTTATGGCAGTAGCTAGAACAGAGAAGAATCAAGTGAAATGCAGAGACAGTTTTAGAACCTGGAGAATCAGTCCACAGAAATTAACATTTAAATGCTTTGATTACTGAAGCCATCCAAGTTAGGTGACCATACATCAGATTCTGATCAATTAATCAATTTGCACAACAAAATTACACCATTTACTCTGCATTACAATGCTGAGAAAAGGGAGGTTTTGTGCAAGTCTGCTACTTCTAATAAATGTAAAAAGCTTTAATTCAGCTGTTTAAAAAAGGGGAAAAAAAGATGTTGCCAATCAACACATCATAGCATAAAAACACATGTGTAGATATATATAATCACTGTAACTGAATCACAAAGAGGAGTTCATTAGTGTACACTGCATACTGGGGTTCAATGTCCTGTAACAGGCATTTGCTGAAACTAGCTTTAAAAGAAACTATTTTGAACAGGGTCCAGTGTTCAGATATACCTGCCAGTGTCAGTTAATTCTATTTTCACCTAAGTACTTTAGATGCATTCAGGAGATTCCCTGACATAATACATACAAAATGCCTTATCTTTACTAGAGAGGATTCTACTAACTGAAGGATCTTACTTAACTTTTCATTTAGGCTAGTGAATGTCACTCCAAAGAGAAAGGAAGTGAAACAACACACAAAAGTTCACAAGCTAAGAACAGGTGGAAATGAAGAACACATTGATGACAGTCATATTGCTCTAAAGTGCAATGACAGAAGAGCATGAAAAGTTAAACCTCAAGGGGACTGCATCATCATCTGTAATTAACAGATACCTGGAAGAGCCCAAAGTCAAGAAACCATGCAAACCCAGAAGATCCTGAAGGCTTAGAGCATTCATGCTCCACGTACAGCAATATTTCACTACACATCCTATTCATCGGGCAGTGGGCAAACTAAGTCTTGAGGGAAGGGGGCGGGGAGGAAACCCTTACTTTTCAGCCATGTTGGTGTCCTTCAAAATATGAACATAAATAAACAGAGCTTGCTCATGCTTCCCCATACGACCCAAGAGCAGAGCACGTTCTTCCAGGAGACCTAGTGATAGCATAAAGGATTAGTTAATAGCTACACAGAGAAATGGCAACATAAACTCCATTAGTGACCAGACTAACAGAAGGAACTGTAGTCTGAGCACAGGTTAAAGTTACATTAAGACTGTAAGTCTACTTCACACTAGTCCCAGTAACATTTTATGAATTCTTAAGTAACCTTAAGAAACAACAAACTTCAGATCTGTTGAGCAATTCGGGCTCAACAAAAAGTTAGGCTAAATATTTAAGTGAATCATAGAATACCAAGTTGGAAGGGACCTCAAGGATCATCTGGTCCAATCATTCTTAGCAAAAGCATGGTCTAGACAAGATGGGCCAGCACCCTGTCCAGCTGAAACTTAAAAGTGATGGGAGACACCTCAAGGTCTTAGGCCAGTTACAGGAATCCTGCAGAGACCAGTAAAACCAACTGTGCCAGCAAACACAGTTAGTATACACACCAGTGGCCTACAACTACAGATACAGCCATCTTCTCGGTTTCTAGTTACCATGATTCTACAGTAAGTGAGGAGGTTTTTATGTACAATGCAATAAGCTAGGGTTTAATTAACCTATGGAAACTGAACTCACCATCAAAGGGGAAGTCACTAATTAGTCGACCAGGTTCATACCAGCTAGACTTCTCCAGAAAAAGTAGAAGCTTTTTCCGGTAATCCCCCAAGTCTCCTCCTTCCTCCCCAGCAGGCACAGGAGTTTTATCTATATGGAAGAAAATAACATAAGCTACAGTATTACAACTATTTCACTACACTAGTACACAGAAGAAGATAAACAAACAAATCATTACCAGGAAGAACCAAATGCTGATGAAACTGTTACGTGGCTTGGGATTCTGATGCACCTGCCAAATTACTTCAACTCCTTAAAACACATCACGTGGCTGGTTAAACAATAGACTTATTCAAGACCCTTCCCTACCCTTAATGTGCAGAATTCAGGAAGCAGTAGCTGTCATTCCACTTAATCATGAATAAAGTGTCACTTGGTCTCTTAAGATCTCTAGGGAGGCAATAAACTGGACTTCCCTACAAACCCACAACTTTTGTTGTTCCAGTTCCTTCATCACTTGGGATAGCTGCTTCTGGATGTGAACAGCAGTTCTTACAGCAGTACACTGTGAAGGCTCCCCTGTGCTATCCCATGCCCCTGGTCTTCCCACAAGAAAAGGCTAAACATACCTGCAGGGAAAGAACTGAGATACTCTTTCATTAAGCCCTGCACTTTCTCACAGTACAGCTGGATCAGACAGTTGTGAAAGTCTGCACCAGTTTCTTCCCAGACATGAATGATGTGTTCCTGTAAATACACGTTCAGGTTCAGTTATAGACACGCTTCCTCTTCGAAGTAATTTGTTATGAGTAAGCAACTGTTTCATGCTTTCCTTTACCAAGCTTGACTTCAGGATTTTATATTCTTTAATTACTTTTTCTTTGCGCAGTTTCTGGCAAAGCTAGCATTTTCTGAGACAGCAACAGGCTCCAGTGCCTCGAGAACTGAAGCCTTACATGTAACACATTGTAATGCACTAGTAGAGACTGAGTACTTACCAGGTAAGGAATAGTCAAGCTTTTAAAATTTTCTATCAAGAAACTGAGCACTTTGTCTCGTGGCAAAGCTTCTACTTCAGGGAGGTCTTCTGTAAATATCTGTTAAACAAAATTTTATTTACAGCATGATTTTTTTTTAAAAATTAAGAGCCACATTGTATTTTCTCAGAGGCACTGAAACCCAGCATATCATCACATATGTCCAAAGAGGAAGCACAAGAAGTATAAAAAAAAAAATGAGCAGCTTATTCAGGAACTCAGAAGCTATATCACATCTGAAAGGATTAACAAACATCCCCACTTCTGCCTTATTTAACACTCTTCTTTTACAGTGCCCAACACCTCCCAGATACAGGGAGTCAATCAAAGAGGAAAGGGAAAATAAGACAGACAATTTAACATTTAAATACTCAATCAGGCTCTTGTGTAAAAAGCATGATATCAACAACATTAAATGTTGTATCAAAGGTTCCGAGCTACTTATTACAAGATAAGGTATTCCAAGAATGGAACAGCATAATAAAAACTGAAAAGCTATGCTGCTCTATCTACAGCTTACCACAATACTGAACATAGAAATATAAATTATATATTTAATTAGATTTAGCATTAATACATGGCTTTTCACATTGAGTTCTCCCAGTTCCATACACTGCACTCAGAATCTCAATGGCAAGGTAGCTGTTTCAACCATGCTTACCTTCAGTCCATCTTCAGGAAAATCTCTTAGCACCCAGACAGAGTAGGAAAATACCAAGTGCAAGTTCTCTGTGCCTGGAATACAAAAAGCATCAGCGCTCAATGTTAAAATCCTAAAGGTCTATCTATTCACAACACAAGCAGATGCTTTCAGAGACAGCAAAGCTCAATTTACAGTAAGAATAGGGTTCCCCCCC